ATAATTAGAAAAATCCATTGCAGCAACCTTCACTTCTTTTCTTCACTATAATCATGACAAGCAAACAACTGCTCAATTTTTTTCTCCCAATTTAAATATGCTTCTGGGTCACTTTTCCCAAGGAATGTTGGAATGGTTAGTTTCACTCCTTCAATTCTATCATCCCTACGTTCCCTTCCATTATCTCTTCTTCTCCTTTTATGCCTCCTATCTTCATTTCCACTATTGTCATCATTATTTACTTTATTTTCTAGTTGCTCAATTCTTCCAAAAAGTTACTCATTATTTTCTCTCATCATCCTTTGCATGTGTGCAATCATAGTCTCAACTAATAACCTTTGAGCGCCATCAAGTTGAGGATTACCACCACCACCTGTTCCTTTCATGCTTCAAATGAAATTGTAAACAATAACAAGAATTGACCTTACCATTCTTCTCACCTGTTTACACTCAATGATAGTTCCTCTCGTGTTTACACTCAAATTGGCTTTTTTTTTTTAATGTTTCACTCTTGCCTTTTACCACTCTTTCCCTCACTTAAAGTTCTTACTTGAATCAAACAATCTATAACCAAGAATCACTTTTAAGTGTCGATAGGGCTTAAACAGAATTTAGCACCAGCAAAACAAGGAAGTAGTAAAGAACAATTTACTATTAACAAAACAAGCAAGATAAACACAAATTTACGGAAAAACAATGATTAGAGAAGACACTTGACACTTAGGAATTTAACAAACAAGTGAAATGCACTGAATTTAGAATACAATTGCTGCACTTTTTTTTGCTTTGTTGTAGATTTTTTTTTTTTGAAGCTTTGAAGTTGTAGCAACTGAAAATGAAACTAAACAAAAATTCAAAATAAAACAAGCATATATGTAACACTCAACAACAACTTAACCCAAATCACATGGATTGAAGGATTAAAATTATTGAACAAGGATGTATGTAACACTCAACATCAACTTGAACCCTAAGAACAGAAATGCATGATTGAACATAAATTATGACGAACCTTGCTCTAATACCAAATGATGTGATTTTCCCTACTAGAATGGGTAAATGATCTATTTAGGGTCAAAAATTGAGTGTTATTAAAATGAGAGAAACAGTGACATTTTGAATTGCGATTTTTTTATATTAAACATTGAAAATGTCCTAGTATTTCGTAAGATACAAACGTGACCTAATTAGAACCAAAACAGGAACAAACAGTAAAATGATCTAAATTCGACTTTGGGAAAAAGAAGACTTACAAAAAGAAAGATAAAACAATAATAGCAAATACGCCACAAACTGAAAGTTTGATAAGCCGGTTTGATCGCCACAAGAACTAGAACAATTCTTGACAAGATCGATGGTTTAAGCAAGAACCCTAGTAGAGAGTTTATCTCACACTTTCAAAATTCTGAAATAATATTCTACCCTTTTCATTCAATTTCAAAATTATAAATAATACTAGTTCTTTCACCTCTGAAAGCACATAAAAGAAAACTAAATTCTTAGTATTTTAAGTATATGTAACTTGTCTCAGTGGATACATGAGGTATAAGCTTGAGGTCCAAGGTTTAAATCAGGCTTATGTTATTATTTTACATCTTTTAATACGATAAATCATTATAACCATTCTCAGTCTAGACTAACAATGCATACCATCATTTTCTTTCCTATCTGGGCCTCCGTGGATTGGGCTGCATCACGCAATTGGACTTCCATCAGATTAATCACCATATGGTCCAAAACTTCATGGGTTCTTTTAACTCTTTCTCTTATCAAAGATCTTCTTAAACCTGAGCTTCCGTTTCATTATGAGTCTGGACCTTGATGTCTTCATTAGGAAGTGTCCTGGAAATTTGTGAGTGGTATTGGTTTGGAGTAGTAAGTCAATGCACTACAAGAAAATCGCGTATTACCGACGGATATTTACCGACGGATTTAAATCCGTCGGAAAATAATTATTACCGACGGAAATTACCGACGGACATAAAATATTTGTGGAATTTGATTTTATCGACGGATATATCCGTCGGTAAAATAATAATTAGTTACCGAAGGATATATCTGTCAGCTAAATCCGTCGGTAATTTACGGATGAATTTACCGACGGATATATCCGTTACGTAAATTACCAACGGATATTTCCGTCGGTAAATTAACAATTAGTAAATATTCACCTAATTAAAAAATTAAATATTTTTTATTTAATAATTTAATTTAATCATAATTAGATTAATTTATAATAATTTCTTAAATTAAATAATTTTAAAAAATAAATATTTAATTATATAAATATATAAAAATATATAAAAATATTTAATTATATATAAATATATATAAAAATATATAAATATATAAAATAAAAATATATAAATATATAAATATATAAATATATAAATATATAAATATAATTTATTTGTATATAAATATAATTTATTTGTAAATTATTATCAAAAAATTACAGTAGGCTTAGTGGTTGGAGTATCAACCTCTAATTCCAAGTATTGGGTTCGAATCCTGTCAAGTAAGTCAAGTCAAGCAAAACAGATGATAAGGTCAAAAATAATGAATGGAGTGGACCAAGATGCTTCCATGAAATTACTGAAGGTCATGTGCCACATGCACAAATATCATATTTTCTTTCCTCGTAGAGTATACACTCTTTCATTACGTGTGTTTCCACACAAGGCCAATTTAATTTAGAATAAATGAAAAATAACACCCTCATGTTATTTTTAATTTAATCTAAATATATAACGTATTCTTAATTTAATTTTTATTTATATAAATTATTAATTAAGTACTTATACTTACAATGTTTTTAAATCAATCTCTATACTGGAGCCATTACACAATTACTATAATGTAATATTGGAAAATCTCCTCTAATGGTCTTACATCAACTTCTTTCCATTAATTTTTCAAGTCCTAGGCTGCATGCTGTATTTCTTACTTATGTTGGATAAATGAATCTATTTGTTATTTTTTTATTCTAAGAATAATATTATTACTAGTTATTGTAATATTGAATTCTTATTTCAAGAATAAAACTCAATTTGAACACCTAATGCCTGGTACGAACCGATGGGTGATTTTACTCTTTGAACAGATAATATTAAATATATTGACATTTATAATCTTGACTAATTTTTACTTAACTAAATATTCATAATTCTCGTACCTGAATATTTTTGTAAATAAATTGGTTTGTATTTGTTATGATATTTTGTAGTACGAGAGCCACGAAAACCTCCAAAGACTCGTCAAGTCTGCTTTTGATCTTTCTTCGAATGCTTTAAGTGATTCCATCAATTGATTCAAAGTCATTGCCTTTAAATCTTCTCTATTCAATTGCACAAACCACAGGATCAAATTTTTCTTCTGAAGAGTGATGTAAGTAATTTTATTCTTTAATTTTTATGTAAGAATATTTTTTAAGTTAATTATTTTTTTTATAAATAATGTATTTAACATATTTTTATAAAAAAATATATTATAATTTATTTATTTTTTAATTTATTGTATTTTGTATAATTTTAACATAAAAAATAATATACATGTATATATACACAATTCATATTTCTTTTTTCAGAATGGTAATTTGAGATAGATCAAATTGATAAAAATAAATGTTCAAATTGATGTAGCCGAGTTTTACTATTTTCAAAAAACCAAGTTTGTTTGTGGAGTTCACTTACATGTTATAAATGAAAATTTTAAATCAAAAAAATTATGATACGAAGAGTCCAATTTGGACGAAGGAGCTGTCATTAAACAAGCGATAACACTACTTCAAAATAATGTCAAGTATAGAGAGAAATCTAAGTTAAGTCCGAGTAATAAATTTTGAAGTAACCATATCCAAATTGTTGTGAACAAAATGATCAAAGTTGTTGTAGACGAGAAGGTTTAAGCTCTTTTAGATGAAAAAGTCTGAGTTGTTTTTGAAGAAGAGAATATCAGAGTTGAAATTGAGGAGAACATCTAAGTTGTTGTGGACAAGAAGGTCTGAGCTATAATTGAAGAGAAGAATCGAGCTGTAATGGATGAGAAGATCTGAGAACATAATGACATGTTAGTGATGACCAAATTGTTGAGTTATGACCGAACAGTTGGTGTGAAGCAGGTGGATATGAAGTTGGTATTTTTGAGTGGTGTGCTTAAGGAGGTGTATGTTGAGCAATCACTTAAATACGTGAAGAAAGATGAGGAGGAGTCGGAAATAGTTGTGTATGCAAAGAAGATTCTAAATAAATTCAAGATGACCGATTGTAATTTGGTATCAACCCCCCATGGAACCAGGGACAAATAGGTCGAACAATCACCGACTTGTAGGGTACTTGGACAGTGACTAGTGTGAAAATGTGAATGATCAAGATGAAAGATGGAAGGAACTCATGTGCTCAGAAAGATGACAAGTTGGCTAGTAGAAAGCTCGAAAGTTTGGAGTCCTGGAAGTTTTGAAGTACATAAAGTTGAAGTACATAAAATCGGTAATCGGGAGATCGGTCAAGTCGATCTAGCAAATTGTCAAGTTAGCTGAATCGGGAACTCGGAAATTTGAAGATGGCAAGTCGGGATCAAGCCGATCTCAATTTTGCTGAAAAAAAAATTTAACTTTACGGGAGAGTTTTGTTGGATTTTTTTTTAATAAAATTAAATAATTAATTTTAAAGTTTATTGGAATAAAAAGATAATAAGGAAATTATTAAGAGTTTGTTGGAATATTTTGATATTAGTAATATCTTGTATAGTTTTTATTTGATTTTACTGTGTATAAATACAGTATTATATTCCTTTATTGAAATATGACAAACAATCAATAATACAGGATTTTACTGATAAATTCTTTATTATCGTTACTGACCAATTACTCTCGATTTCACCCAAATACTAAATACTGCATTTTACCAAAAATATTCGCAAACTCATACTTTAAAGGAGAAGAAACATAATACTAATATACAACATATTATCCATTGGACTTTTAGAAGCCACAGTTTCTATTACATAGGCTCGAATCTGTGAGAAGCATGGATATGAAGATCACCATCAATGTGAAGAGTGAGCATAGTCTTATATCTCACTGATTCATTTTGGACAGCCAACTTGAATTTGTAGCTATGACAAAGAACAGCAGCAAAAGTTTTCATTTGCCTATATGCAAAATCTTTCCCCACACAAATTCTTGGACCGGCCTGCATAGTGATAACATGTTGAGTTTCAAAGTTTCAATTACTCAAGAAAGCAGTGTGTTTTTACTCCAAATTCTTACATACTTCACCTATTTTTACTGTTCATATTTTGCACTTGCTAACCTGAAAGGCTGTGATCTTGAAAGAACTTTTTTGTTGGAAAGTTCCACTTTCATCAAGCCACCTCTCTGGTAGAAATTCCTCTGCATCTTCACCCCAGATGAATTTCATCCTACCCATGGCATATGGATGTTATGATACAGAATCATCTTTCCTAATACTAAATGCATCAGGTAAAGTTTCATCTGATAAGCAAAGTTTGCCATCCTGTAGCATCACAGATAAAATTGTACACTTCATAAGATAAAGTACAATAATAATGGTCCATTAAGAAATCTTGGATTTAGGGGATAATTTGTTAGAAAATCAACTGAGATTGCGATAAAATACAATATAATAAATTATGAAAGCTTGTTAAAATATTAACAGTTGAGTTTCAGTGCCAGAAACCTTGACACCATATCTGTTTCTTTCTCCTGTCAATGTACATTTCAAATGGATAACAAGAGTTTAATATCTATGCTCAGTCGGTGTAATTTTTTTTTTACACTGAACTAATCAGAAATAATAAGAGATAAGTGAGTTATGGTAAAAGTGAAAAAATTTATAATATATAACAATTTATGGTTGTATGCCAGCGTAAAAAGCCTTTATATTGTGAATGATTTATACTATTTAGTCTAATATAATAAGAGGTGGTATTAAGAATTTTACTCACTGGAAAATCATATTGTGACTTTCGCACTTGTTCTGTCTAAATTCTGATGAGTTTGTACACAAATCCATCCACCACTTTAACACGGTTTCTAAGTACTGCCTCTGATCCAATTTATGTTGAGGAAACGCTTGATCTTCCAGAAAACATAAACATATCCGTACAACGTCATAGCATTTGCTTCATCAAAGGCATTGGAGAGTTCAGTGCCTTCTTCATATGTTCCATATATGGTTTCCAACTTACACCAAGGACAATCTTAAACACGGAATCTAAGGTCGATTTCATAAACAATTCCGGTCAATAAACACCATGGAGATTAATATTATAGATCCTTTATTTTATTTATTATGAATTTAACCACTTTGTATCAAGCAAGTAACAAAATCTTACTTGGAAGTCAACTATATTATTTGACACAGCTGTTTTAGAAACTACTCCTGCAAGTTTTACTGCAATGGATTTGAACACTTGAAGGCTAAATCTCTAACTGTTTTGGTGCCAATTTCATATCTCGCTGCCTTTCTCTGATGTAGCAACTTCTCTCCGTCCACTGTGAATATACCATCTCCTAAAAGATCTGCCAATTTCTCAGTGGTACCAGCCCTGTAACAGGACACGAGAATAAGAGTTTGAAGCTCCACTATGTGGTTACCTCTTTCAGATTACTGGACTTCAAACTAAATTTCAAAATTTCAAATTATGGTTGCACGATTAATTTTGATGTTATGAAGTTACGATATTTTATCTTGATCTTAAGTTTCCAAAGAGTATATATGTTTTTTTCACTGTTATTTGCAGTGTTTCATGATTAAGACATCATAAAGTTGGTTAAGAATACATTATGGATAGTTATTAAATAGCATTTCCTCTGAAAAAAAAAGAAGAAGAGAAATTATCAAAAACCCATATTTAGATAGGACTCAGCTTGCAAAGAAGATATAAAATGGACTCCTAATTCTCAGTTCTCAGCACCAAATCAAATTAAAACATCATCATCATACTAGAACATTAAAACTTTTGTTCGGTACTAGCTAGCTCGTCGTTGTAGCACCCTCCCCGTTGAAATCAAAAGTCTTCAACTCATCATCCAGAATTAATAAACATCCATACGCTTCAAATCAGTGCAAGAGTGTTGCTACAAAATCTTTGACACTAAATACCTTCCCATAGTTTGCAAAGCTTGTTTTGAGCATATATTCAACAATGACAGGATCTACAGTGTAAACCTTGTTGTAAAACCTAAACTAGTCGTTTGGTATTCTTAGAATAGTATTAATGGTTTTAGGCACAAGTTGCATAACCAAGAAATATGGGGAAGCAAACCTATTTAATAGGTATCATGATTTATTTTTTGGCATCTGAAGAGGCAAATATTTTGTCCATAAATACTTGTAATAACTCATTTGAAATTGCAGCAAGAGAAACATTGAGAGATTAAAAAGAAAACAGAGTACTGCCAACTTCTATTTTCTGCCTTCTTGTTGCCAACAAATTGGCATCAGAGCTTGTGTGTGAGATGAGCGTGAGAGAACCTACCAAGCCTCAAGAGGGAACGCCGCGGTGTGCGCTGGATGAGAAAGAGAGAGGAGCGACTCAAAGCTTTGTGAGGTGTGTGAGTTGAGTGCAAACACTTGAGAGAAAATGACAGGTCTAACCAATGACGTCTCGCTACCCAAGTTGACGAAAGGCGCCAACTATGACAATTGGTAGGTACAAATGAAGGTCCTTCTCAGCTCCCAAGATAACTGGGATGTGATCGAGACTGGGTATGAGGAACTGGCGAACACATATGAGTATTCAAATACCCAGCTGAACGTATTGAAGGTCATTCGAGCTAAAGACAAGGCGACTCTGTATTTGCTTTACTGAGCTGTCGACGAATCCGGTTTTGAGAAGATAACCAATGCAAAATCTTCCAAAGTAGCATGGGATATACTTGAAAAAGTAAACAAAGGAGATGAACGATGAAGCAAACTCGACTTCAAGCCCTTAGGGGCGAGCTGGAAAACATGAGGATGAAAGAGTCTGAAAGCGTATCAGAGTTCATTACTCGGGTGAAGACCGTGGTGAACAAGCTGAATCAGAATGGTGAGAGTCTTTCATCAAACAGAGTTGTTGAAAAGATTTTGAGGTCATTGACAGATGATTTTGAGAACATCGTGTGCACAATAGAGGAGTCTAAAGATCTATCAATGCTCACCCTTGAAGAGCTTGTTAGGTCCCTGGAAGCACATGAGCAGAGAAGGAAAAATAAGAAGGGGGAATCCCTTGAACAGGCCCTTCAGGCGAAGGCGATAATAAAAGAGGAGAAGGTGTTCTATGCTCAGAGTACTAGAAGTCGAGGAAAGGCAGAGGCTAAGGTGGTAGAGAAAAAGGAGGACAAGGAAATGAGTAAGACGGTAAACAGAACTGGCGTGGCCAAGGTAAGGCTCGAAGTGACCGGACAAACACAAACAATATTGAATGTTATAATTGTAGGAAGAATTGACATGTTGCCAAGAATTGTTACTCGGTAAAATGCTACAATTGTGGAAAGAATGGGCATGTTGCCAAGGACTGTTACTCGGTAAAATGCTATAATTATGGAAAGTTGAGTCATATTTCCAAAGATTGTAGGTCCAAGAAGAAAAAGGAGGAACCAACAAACTTTCTTGCCGATGAAGAAGATGAAGGATTGTGATGGTGACAAACATTCCAAAAACTAAGGTCAAGTCGGGATGTTCTAATAACTAGATTTGGTACTTGGACACCGGCACAAGTAATCACATGTGTGGTGACAAGCGCTTATTTAAAATACTTTCAAAGGTGGAGTCCGGATCTGTTTCTTTTGGTAATGCAAGGTGGAGTCTGGATCTATTTCTTTCGACAATGCTTTGAAAGTAGTTGTCAAAGATTGAGGAACGATCTGGTATCAATAGAGAAATGGACAAATCAGAGAGATCAGAGATGTATACTACGTACCTGATCTCAAAAGCAACATACTGAGCATGAGACAGTTAATGGAAAAGGGGTACTCGGTTCTGATGAAGGACCGAGAACTACAACTAAAGGATAAACTCGGGAGGCTTATTGCTCTGGTAGAAATGAAGAAAAATCGCATACAAACTTGAGCTGAAAATAGTTCAAGATAAATGCATGAAACTTGATGTGGAGGATGAGGCTATGAAGTGGCATTTTCGGTTCGGTTAGCTTCACTTTGGTGGGTTGACTGAGCTGGTGAAAAAGGAAATGGTGCTCGAATTGCCTAAAATAGAATTCGAAAAAATGTTCTGTGAAGAATGTGTGATTGGGAAGTAAGCAAGGATTTCTTTCCTAAGGAGTTCTGAGTGTCGAGCAAAAGAGCAACTTAGACTAATCTATACCGATTTGTGTGGGTTAATAACTCCAGAATCATTCAATGGTAAGAGATATTTCGTCTCTTTTATTGATGATTTCTCGAGAAAGACATGAGTTTATTTTCTGAAGGAGAAGTCAGAAATGTTGAAACTTTCAAGAAATTCAAAATGATGGTGGAGAAAGAACAAGCAAAGTCATCAAAGCAGTCCGATCTGACAGAGGAGGCGAGTTCACTTCTGTTGAGCTTAACAAATACTGCGAGGAACATGGGATCAAGCATTTCTTGATTGCCCCATATTCTCCGCAGCAAAATGGTGTAGCGGAATGAAAGAACCGAACCATTATCAATATGGTTCGATTTATATTGAAATGGAAGAATATGCCGAAGAAGTTTGGGGCAGAGACGGTGCAGTGCGCAGTCTATGTGCAAAATAGATGTCCACATGCAAAGCTAGGCGAGAAGACACCTCAGGAGATCTGGAGTGGTATGAAGTCGAGTGTCTCTCATCTGAAGGTGTTTGGTAGTGTGGCCTATGGGCAAGTACCAAGTCAGCACAGGACAAAATTAGAAAATCGGAGCAAGAAGTACATATTTATCGGGTATGATGGAAAATCTAAAGCATATAAATTGTTTGATCCTGTTAACAATAAAGTGGTGGTAAGACGAGATGTTCACGTGAAGGAAACAAAGCAGTGGTGCTGGAGTAACCCGGGTGAAGAAGAAACTAGCTCAGAAATTGTTGTGTCTTCAACAGCAACAACCACTAAATCCTCAGATGAAGAAATAGAGCCACAACAGCTCAGGATGAGAAGTCTGCAGTATTTCTTCTGTCACGAGAATAGACGAAGTATTTGCTTCTGTCACGAGTATTTCTTCCTCAGGTGGTAAGCCGACTATGATGAAGTATTTGCTTCTGTCACGATAATAGAGTCAATCTGACTTCTGATCTCATTAACTGCTCAAAACCAATGGTCAATTCTACAAATGAATGTGAATTCGACATTTCTAAATGGAGTGCTGAAGGAAGTGTATGTCGAGCAACCACTCGGGTACATGAAGAGAGGGATGAGAAGAAGGTGTTGAGATTGAGAAAAGTCTTTTATGGGCTTAAGCAGGCTCCTCGTGCCTGTAATGAGAGAATTGACGAGCATTTCAAGAAAAATTGGTATGAGCAATATTCATATGAGCATGCCTTGTACACAAAAAAATCAAAAAAGGACATGATGGTAGTTGCTCTCTATGTCAACGACCTCATATTCACTGAAAGCAACACAAAGTTGATTAAGGAGTTCAAGGAGATAATGAAGAAAGAGTTTGAAATGACAGACTTAGGCCTGATAAAATATTTTCTTGGCCTAGAAGTGAAGCAGCTAGAGGAAGGGATTTTTATATCCCAAGAAAGGTACATGCTTGAAATTTTAAAGAAATTTAAAATGGAGGTCTATAACCCGATTTCTACTCCAATGGAACCGGACACTAAACTCTCAAAGTTTAATGGAGGATAACGAGCTGATTCTAGGAGATATCGAAGTTTAATCGGAAGTCTGAGGTACCTTACAAGCACGAGACCCGACCTAATGCTTGAAAGTGATAAAGATCTTGTGGATTTGATGAAGTCAAAGACTGTTTGGGTTGAAGGATAGAGTGATTAGTGAGTCTGCATCTATACATAGGTATAATAATTCATATATCTCTGCTGCATGAAGATTAATCATTTGAAAAAAAATCGAAAATGCCTCTAACAATGTTTTAATCTGTTAAAAACTGTATTAATCGACTAATTTGTTTTTATGAAATAGTTTTAACTTATATGTTTTTGAAATAATCGATTAAAACCATTTAAAACATTTGTTAGAGTTGTTTTAATCGATACACTTTCGAAATAATCGATTATTTTCATTAAAGGTGTATTTAGAAACCTTCTGCCAGTATTTTCACTGATATAAATTCGAAATAATCGATTAAAATCACTTAAGATGTTTTGCAAAATGTTCTGACAGTATTTTAATCGATATAACTTCAAAATAATCGATTAAAACCACTTGAAGTATTTTTTAATCGATGTAATCTCAAATATAATTGATCAGAATAACTTTTAATCGATGTAAAATTGAATTAATCGGTTAAAACAACTTAAGAAACTTTTTGCTAACTGTTTTAATCGATTAAAACATGTTGTTATCGGTTAAAATCACTTAGAAAGTTTTGTAAAAAGTTTTAGAAAAATATTAATCAATTAAATTGCGAATTAATCGATTAAAACAACTTAAGGGACTTTTTGTTAATTGTTTTAATCGATTGAAACGACGTCACATCGGTTAAAATAAATCTGGAAAATGATCAAGAGCATTTTAACAGATTAAAAGAAGTTTTAACCGATTAATCAAAAACTTTTAATAGATTAAAAGAACGGTTTAACATATTAATTAAACTAGAAGTTGAAAAACATTTTTATATAAACAGATTTGATTCAAGGTTTTAATATATACTTTTGAGCAATCAATCAAGCAATCATAAGAGCTACTTTCAAGAAAGAATTGCACAAGTTTTGTGACGTTTTTCAAAGTTTTTTCTTGAGGCATTTTTTGCATTCTTTTGGTGAAGAAACTCATTCTACAGGAGCTGCATATTCCTGGTTTGATTGTTCTAGTTTCTTCTCTTTGTTTTTTCAATTTCTTTATTATATTGTGAGTGTTTGGAATTGTTCGGTACTAGTTCTGTAGCTAAAATTTGGCTGCAGGTTGGTTTAAGAACTGGAATTTGGTTCTTGGTGAAGGTTTAGGTACAAGATCTGGAATTTGGGTTTTGTGGTAGATTGGGTGTGTGATTGG